TAGTATTTGGTCTAAAACATCCAGCAGGAAATTATAAACAAATGATGGAAAAACACAGCGCCATAGTGCAAATAGGTGGAAACAAAAAGGGCTCCAATCATTGATGTCTTTTGGAAAGTTTGCAGATATACCAATAGCTGGCCACTGTGCTTCATTAAGCCAGAAAAGCTTACAGTGCAAGCAACAAAAGCACCGCAAGAGTCTGTGACTTTCTTCTCTCCATCTTCTCATGGTTATGCTAGAGGGAGCTTCATCAGGAGAGGGCTCTAAGAGCAAACTCGGTACCATCACTATTCCAGTCACTCCAGAACAGTTTCTAGATTTGGCTCTTTCCAAAACTTACCTTTCCATTCAAGTGCTTGTGCTTGGATCATGCACTATAAAATATCTTGGAATTTTTTTTTTATTGTGGCCTAGAGGATGTTAGAATTGCAGTGATCATGCAGATGGAACCAATGGGTTGTGTTCTAGACCTCTTTTATTGGATCCATTGGATTGACCTTATAAACAGATCGCAGCTGCTAAACAACAGAAAGTCTATCTGAGGCCCTTTAGATTAGATCTCTGTAGAAGGCCTCTGACTGTGCTTTCCCTTAAACTGATACTGCTCAGTTTGAAGCAGGTGGATTGAAAGTGCATCACTTCCATCCTAACTCCAGGTGATGTTACCTCCTCAGAGGGAGAAACATTATAGACTGCAAAGTTAGTGAGAAGCACAGTAGGGAGCTAGATATAGCAGGGGCATGGAAGACAGGAGAATCAATCAGGAATGTACCCTGTGATGCATCTGAAGAATAAGGTCACAATGGCTAGTTTTCCTTATTTTCCTAAGAGATGAACAGAGGCTTGGGATTCTTTCCACCAGCATTTTGAAATTTTCCAATATCTCCTTAAGTGTGTACCATCCTCTCTAATCTGCTAATATTAAAACAACTGAGACTAAGATTGATATTACAACTAAGTCTCCTTAGACTAATGAAGAGTAGGATAAAGATCATTGATCATGTTTCAGGATGTCACTCAAGTGCCTTTTCTACCCTTTGATCAATATTACCTAGGTGACTAGCCTTGCAATCTAACTGGTTTATAGTAATGTTTATACATGTCAATCTCACATGATTTTGTTCCATGAAAATTCCTCTGAGAGGTGGGCTTCTGTGCAAGACATTTGGAGCCTCTCTTGTCTCTTGGGAGCTATTCCTAATCCCTAGTCCCCAACTTAGGTTAACCAGTCTTTTCCTTCAATAAATTCATCCACTATTAAGAAAAAATTTGGAGGTCTCTGTGTCAATGACTTCATGGACTTCATTATTATAGGTCGTTTTCTCAATGTAATTGAGGAATCCTCACAAATTCATCTGCTCACATACATTTAATAGAGTAACATGACAAAGAAAAAGAAATCAAAATCAAACAAGTGATTTTATCAGTATATCCATTTCTAGGTTCCATCAAATTCAAGCCAGTTTCTTGTACAAAATCAAGTCAAATTCTATAACAATCACAGTTTACCATGAAGAAAAGAAAAATTTTCCTGTTGAATCAACAAAACAGGTAAACTCTGACACTCTCAATACAAAATCAAAATCCATTTGAGACCAATGTCAAACAAAATTACACTGACATCACAACGTCCAATTAACCAATTATATTAGGAAAGTGTAGCATATGTGACACTGGAATCACTTTGGAAATCCCATTTTTATGTTACATTACTTTTTCAAAAAAAAAAGAACAAGATTTCAAAAACCCATGAATGAAACCAATATTGATCTCTAAGTAATAGAAAAAGTAGAGACATCAAGATGATTTGCATGAAACTTTGTTGCCTCCCCTTCCCCTTTACTGCTTCAAAAATTGCCTGCTCCATAGAAACAATAACTGAAATTGGGCCCCATATCATGTAGTGTGGAACTAAGACTGAAACTTGCTGTTGAACACTCCCTGTAGCTGTCACTGATATTGCCCAGCAGAGGCCCTAAGCTTGTCTTTTTCTTTACTCTAGGGCTGCTGATGTTGATGTGCAAAAGAGTTGTGATACTTCTCATCAAGCATGATGGCATGATCTAGTATTTTCATATTGGTGGTTTCAGCACTAGCCCTCGGACCCCACAGGAACTCATACTGAGCAGGATCACTGTGAGGAACCTGCTGGTACACCAGGTACTCTGCCCCAACCAAATCCTCTCTGACGAATTTCCATATGTCCCCAACAGCAATGTGAGCACTCTCGGATAATATCTTAATACGTCTCAGAATGTCCTTAACGTGCTCTTCACTAACTCGATTGCCCTTTAGGAAGATCAAACTCAGGATGAGTATCAAGAGGTCACCTTTACGAATGATCTGGTCAGTGTCATCCAGTATCCCACTGTAAGTGAGGCCCAAAGTGGAGACAAGCTCATATGTGTGGGCAGTGGAATCCACTTCCTTTACTATAATGCCAAAATCCAGATGCATGCACTCACAGATCTCCCTAAAGATCACAGGGAAGTTATCATGGGCACTGTTGTCCCACATGTGCATCACTTCTTCCCTGGAGAACTGCTCATTCTTTTGATACTTATGGATCAGAAATCGCACAATCATATCTATCTTATCATTTTCAGTGACACGCATTCTGATCTGAGGGTCATCACTGTTTTGAGACACACTTGCACCCTCCTCTTGAATGCTGGAGCCAGCGTGACACTGACTGCCTTCACTGGAAGCCATGGCAGTAGGCTCTTCTCTTGGTGTGTCCCCCATTAAAGCATGGGAGGAAGAAGATGCAGAGGTAAC